AACAGGAGCAGCGCCTTCCCTTTTCCCGGAGAGCCGTTCAGCCCGCAGCACCGCGGGCCTAGGAGCAAACCAGCTCTGTGTCAGCTCCTTAAACACTTGGCCACCGCGGAAATCTGCAAGGGCCGGTCTGCAGCGGGCGAGACTCGTACAGGATCCTCATTTTGTGCTCTGGCGAGTATCTGTCTAAATATTTCCCAGTGGACAGACAAATACTCCGGGGTCTGCGGCAGGACTGGAGGAAGGTCCTGTCCCGGGGAGGCAGCGGTATCGACAAAACAAAAAAGGGCGATTGCGGAACACGGCGCTTCTCTCCGCTCGAAATTTAAGTCCCTTTTCCATCCGAAAGCCAAAATTAGCTTTAAAGTGCTGGTCCTTTCACCGCCAACACTTAAGGGTACGTTGCCGTGGAACATTTTGGTTTTTTTTAAGAGGCAATAAATAATTTTTAGGTTCCCTAGCGTGTTGTGAGTATTCCTCTGCGCCCGTTTATTCCGCTCGAAACCCAATGAAAGCCTGATTCAGGGATAAGAGCTAAACGTCCTGGACTGAGCTGCCAGCCACAGCCTCTAGCGCCTAGCATTGCCAGTGTGAATCAAAATACACCCTGCGCTCAACTGCTTCTCACCGGGGTATTTTCTATTTAACTGCCTGCAAAGAACAGAAAAATGTAGCCGGTTTATTCTACGTTTCTCATTATTTTAAGTTGTCTAATTTCAGCGTCTTTGATTTTTCTCCCATTTACAATTCCTGGTGCATTCAACTGCTGTCAACAGCGTTGAGTCAACAAAAGCATCCGTAGGCAACTTCTGTTTATTTACAGTCCTAAGCTGATCTGTTTTCCATTTAATGGAAATTAAATGGCGAGGCACTTTTAGGTTGCATTTCTCCTACAGAATCTTGAATCAATAGCACCAGTGCTATAATTAGGAGGAATTTAAGAGACAGCATTTACAAGAACAAGAAGTTTTGTTTACACGCTTACAGTGGTAGCCAAACTTAAATTAAAATAAAAACAATGTGTCAAGCTGGATTAAGGGTCCATTTTCATTTGCAAAATAACTTTTACGGAGGATGACGAGAAAAAAAAAAGAAAGAAGGAAGGGTGCCTCGCTTTTATCATGGCAAAGCAGAAATAAAAAAATAAAATAATAAAAAAAAAGACACCGAGAGACACGCAAATAAATGCAAGCGTAAATGCACAGGCAAACACACGACCAGAGGGCCAGGTCGCCATGTGGTGTAAACAGAGAAATGGAGATGGGGGGGGGGGAAGATGTTTCCCGATCTCTTAAAGGCTTTTTTCCCTTTTCCTCCCCGAGCCGAACGGCTCCGGGGTGTGCGTGTGCCGGTCCCGCCGCGCAGGCAGAGGAGCACGAACAATCGGAGGGGAGCCGCCCGCTCTGCAGAAACCCGCTCTGAATCGCACCGCCCGCCTCGGCCCTTCTGCGGGG